CAAAGAACCCTAATGACCAAAATAACTAGAAACCAAACTAACCTAACATGTTCAGCACATAAAATAGTTAAACAACAATGCACTCAATCAACCTAAGCCATACATTTTGCAAATGCAAATACACATATACTAAAACACCATACACCCATGATTCCACATGATTAGAGACAATGCAAGCATATCTACGCGGATAGATTGGAGGAGGGGAGGGACCATTACCTCGAGGAAGCTTCGGGAGACGAGATCCGGACACCTAGGGTCGCATTTGGGGGTTAGGGTTTCATGGAGGCCGTGGGGGGAGACGAACAGAGAGAGAGCCGGTGCTTTCAGAATGGAGGGAGGAAGAAGAATGGGGCCGCGGCGCGGCTTCAAGAGTCCAGACCTCGGCGTTGAGTCGGGCCGCGCCGAGTCTAGTGGCTCGGCGTTAAGTGACCTCGCACCGAGCTATTGGGCCACAAAGCGTTGTTGGCTGCCTGGGCCACGCGCTGGATGGTGCCAATAGCTCAGCGTGTAGTACCACCGTGCCGAGGTTGGGCTTGTGGCGTTGGCTGACACAACGCCGACGTGTCGGGCCCCATGCGCCACCGTGTCACCGTCGACCGGGGTCGTCCGGGACGTGGCAAGACCTCGGCGTCGTATCAGTCGACGCCGACCCTCATACATTGGCGTCATGTTCTAAGACGCCTAAAAATGGTCTATTTTTAGCAAACGTTTTGGCATAGGTCTTTTTGTAAAAAATGTTTTCAAAAGGGACCAAAATGCAAAAATTTCACACGGCTTGCCGGTAATAGAAGCAAGAGCATCAACAACTACAAAATTCGTTGGCACATAGTAGGCAGCCGCAGTGACAGGGAAATATTTGAATGGTTATACAACGAGTAAAATTCGGCCCCTAAACTTAAACTAGTCATGTTATCCTGGTCCCCGAACTTTCAAAGTGATTTGTGTAGATCTCTAAACTCGGCCAACGATGTCATCACAGTCATAAACTTCCAATGTGATCACCGTCAATCTCTAAACTTTGGCCAATGGTGTCATTCTAGACCCTAAACTTAGTTTTCAGTCTCATTTGGTCGAAACGGGGCCTAATGCACTCTATACGCTGACGGTGCAACCCAACATGTGGGGTCCACCTCTCCTCTGTATTCCTTATCTTTGACAAGTGGACCTTGTGGACCGTGATGACACTACCTGCCAAGTTTAGAGATCAATGGTGAATTTTAAACCTCTAAAAAGTTAAAATATAGATATATTCCACGTGCATATCAGGTCTAGGTCAAACGTCAACTTACTATGTTAGCATATAGAGTGGGTTATTAGGCCCCGTTTGAACCCATATGAGACTCAAAACCAAGTTCATGAACCAGAATGACACCACCGGTCAAGCTTAGGAACCGGCGGTGATCACCTTGAAAGTTCATGGAGTGGGATGACAAGTTTAGAGATCCACATATATCATTTTATGAAAGTGCAATCAAGCTCTAATTGTGGGTTTTGGTGATAATGACCGTGCAATTAGAGGACTAATGAGATTTATCGAAATGACAAACATGGAATTTACAATCGAGGATATTATACAAAATAGAGAAGCCCCCAATTACAAATAGTGACGACATCAAATTCAAAGGAGGTTTAATTTTTTTATATTTCGAATTTGAGTATAGGAATGTCGTACTATAAAGGGGGACATAATAAACGTGCTAAAGTATGCAACCAAGTGCTCAATCTTATACACATACTTCCTCCGTTGCTCAGCCAAGACAGCCTAACTTTCACTGTTTTCACCCTTGTTGTCTTGCCTGGTGCGGCAGTGCCGCACCTGAAGAGAGGCACTGCCGTAGTGCGGCACTACTGCAGTTGAGCTGTGGCATTGCCGTAACTTAACTGACTGTTGGGGTTGGGGGTATTTATACCTCTCACACACCCCTCCAACGGCTCTTCTTCCTCCTCGGTCCAGCCCCAGTTGCTCAGTTCTTGTTCTCTCTCTCTCTATTGGTGACCTTGAGCTCCTAAACATTTCTTTGTGATTTCCCCATCAATCCTTGAGAGAAAAGGCTCCAAAACTTGATTAGAGAGTAGATTCATTGATTCCCAAAGTCTAAGAGCACTTGGTTCGCGTTTTAGCCGATGGATTATGTTTGTTACTCTTGGAGCTTGCTCCTAGCCGGCTAGAGCGTTGCCCGTGGCGCAATTTCTGTGGCAGCCCCAGGAGGTTTGTAACCATCTCTTAAAGCTAGTAAACTCACCCCTCATCTCAAGAGTTAACTCTCTTGACTTGAGATCGAGGAAGGGTTGCAAAGCCCTACGCCTTAGTGGCTAACCTCTACAACGTGTACTTAGGTAAGGCTTGGTGGCGAGCTAAACCATGGGATAAATGCTTGTGTCACCTTGTGCTTGATTTACTTTCATTGCATTTCATATTGTTGTACGGTTTGATGTCAATCTACTTGCATACACTTGTGCTAGCACTTTGTGCTGTCAATCTGTGATCTACTATCCTATAGGAAGCTCAGTAATTTCTCCGATCTAAGTTTCTATCCATAGATTTTGAACTGTATCACGAAATTGTCTGCAGGTGCGGTAGTGCTGCTGCTCTGGCCCGACAGTGCCGCGGGCTCAGAGCAGTAGTGCCGCGGGTTGATTTTGACATTTGGTTAAGTTTTGTTTCAACAGGCCTATTTACCCTCTAACCAGAGATCCTACACTTTGAAAGTTCAGGGACCGAGATGACACCGTCGGTCAAGTTTAAGGACCTGTGGTGAAATTGAAGAAAATTCATCGGAGTTAAGGTGAAAAATAATTAGTGATGTGCCACCAACATGAGCGGTTGAGTGCCTACGCGCCTGCGCCCTCACTTTTGTTAGCCTCATATTTGATACCATTGTTTTTCCAGTTTATAGACAAATTTATTTAAGGGTAGTCTATTTATACAATTTTCCAATGGTAGCACGTAATAATCTACTACAACCACAAGATTTCATAACCAATAATAAACCACATTTCATGTTTGCATAAACCTCAACCCTATGTCATCCATGCCATCTCATTTACAACAGTTTGACGATAAGCTTTCCAATAGATCCACAGGTGATAGTAAAACCATCAAGCAGTGACGGGTGGTGGCACTCTCCCTCTCCCTCTCGTGGAAATTCCTGCAGCATGCATGCAGGATGGCTCTTGGCTACCACGTTGTATATATAGGATGATAAGTTGGTTGTTTCTCTTTTATTTTTTTGGTTGTTTCCAATAGATCCATAGCTATGGAGAACCCCTCTTCCTCTCCCTCTTGTGGAAATTCCTACAGCACCGGCCTCCCAGCACGCACCCCTCGGCAGCCCACCGACCTCGGACGGGACCGCACAGGGAGGCGTGGGGGGTGCCGACGGCAATCGTCGACATCGGAGACGATGTCGGCGGCGCAGGGGCGAGCCAGCGACAGACATCCGCATGGGCACGCTTGTCGACACCAATGACGCCTCTCCTTCGACTGCCACACGCCGCTTCCTCGAGCCAGATCCACTGGCGGAGACGCTGTGCGTGGGCGCAGGCCCTCTCACTTGGCTCGTCTCGGTCGACCCAATGCCGGACGAGCTTGCCGCCTCGCTCGTCGTGAGCCGGCCAGCGGTCACTCCAGCGACTGGGTGCCTGCATGCTGTGGCACCCGTCCCACAGGAGGTTCAAGCTTCGTTGGTGGACACCAGTTCTCCGGTGATGGCTACTTAGTGCGCGACGGACCCGCCTCCATCATCATCTGTGCAGGACACACCTTCACTGATGGGACAACCCGTTGTCGCGAGTGTTGTGGCGCCTGGGGAGGATGGTGAGGCCTGGCCACTTGGGTTCGAGCTAGCCAATCACATGGCGGGTTCTACGCTGACGCAGGATGGCCACTCGGTCGGCCAAGCCACACTTGACCCATCTACACCGACGAAGGATGGAGCCACGCCCGACCCCAGTGACGCGATGCCCACGCCGCGTGAGGCCGCTCAGCGTCTCGCACGGTTTACCGAGGAGGTGCAGCTCAAGAGAGGGTAGCCCTTAATCGCCACTCCACCGCGGCAGAAGGCAGCAACCAGAAGGCCCCTGCCCATCAGGAGCAGACGGATTGCTGCGCAGCCGCTGGCGCACATACCGACTTTCAAGCGGGGCGAGGTACTCCTCATGCAAAGGATGGGCATTGTGCCGCCAGCAGCTCTAGTGTCGTCTGCGTCCAAGGGAGCATACGACGCCATATTCGTAGGGAATTTGACGTCGAGCCACGTGGCAACCCTGGATGAGCTGTTCCCAGCGACCAACAGCAGGGCGGGTAGAAGAGCACTCTTCTCGGATGGCGGAGGAGGATCGCGCATCCAGAAGCGGGGCCGCCCAGCTCCTTAGGTTGCAGCGGTGCTTTTAGTTCAGTTGTTTACCATTTATGTAATATCGAAGTTTGTAACAGTCTGCTAGGTAGGTTCAGTAATAGCTGTAAGACCACCTAGCGTGCTCATCAGAAGCATGTCGTTTGTACGGTCAAACTCTTCTTAATTACAATGATACGCAAATCTTTTGCGTATTAGAAAAAAAAAGAAATTCCTGCAGCATGCATGCAGGATGGCTCTTGGCTACCATGTTGTATAGGATGAATGGATGATAAGTTGGTTGTTTCTCTTTTAGTTTTTTGGTGACGGTTGTGGTGTTGGTTCATAATCATGTGGATAATGTTTGTTTAGTTTCATGTCAACTCCTTCGCTGTTAGAACATAGTATAGACCAGCAGTTTAACATGCATCTTCTCTTGAACAAGGGAGTTATCAACGTATAAATTAAATAAAGAAGAGATCGCTACGCTTTTGTTTGTTCACCATTCTAATTCCCCAATAATAAGCACATATATGAACTAGACATTGTAGTCATCAACATAAAATGGCTCCAACCAAATCAAACAAGACCACGGTGGTCACAATTCCACGCTGAAAAACAACTCGTTTGCGGGCAGCTCTTAGTTTCCATCGAAATGGATGGTTACAGCTCATCAGATCCGGGCAGCTCTCCGCTGTCAGCTATGAGGACTTTGGCCTTGGGCACACCACTCGGCTGGCCTTGAGCTTCAATCTTCTTGACCACATCCATTCCACTCACCACCTTGCCGAACACAACATGTACCCCATCCAATTTCTTCGGTAACCTTTGCACGAAGAAGTAAAGCACGATCAGTGACAAGCATTAATTCTCAAGAGAGAGCAAAGAAAATCTTTCTGTTGTAGAAGTTAAAATGGTGCTGCGGCGATTACAAAATAAAGACTAGTGATGATGCTCAAGAACCATTGAAGAAGAAGGGAAGATTACCGGTTTCCTTCTACAGTGGTGATGGCAAACTGGCCTGCGTTTGTATCTTTCCCGTAATTGGCCATGGATACGGTACCTGCAATGCAGTTGATCAGACATGAGCACTGACGACCAGTGTTTCAAGAAGGTTAATTTCACGTTAGCACAGTTAGCCACCAGCTTCGGCGTGGTTGAGCTTGAAGTTCTCGTCAGGCCAGACGTCTTTGCCGTAGATGGAATCAACGCCCGTTCCGTTGTGGTTTACGAAATCGCCTCCTTGAATCATGAAGCCTGGGATGATCCTGTGGAATGTGGATCCCTTGTACCACAGAGGTTCGCCATAAGCACCAATTCCTTTCTCCCCTGTGTAACATGGAAGTTGAGGGTGCTTTACAATACATGACAGGAATCAGAGAGAGCGGTGTACTGCCAAACCGTTATTATGGAGGGATCTCTCTCTCCAGTAAGAAATTTCGTAAAAGAAATGACTAGAACCTAATGTTTACCATTCCCATTTTGACATCATAAGTAGCCTGCCATTTCTAGACTGGGTAGGAATATGTTTCAGTACTGCATGGTAAGTAAGGGGTTGGGACATGATAGTGGTAGTTAGGAATCATACCTGTGCTAAGTGCTCTGAAGTTCTCTGAAAAGAAAAATACACAAATACAGTAAACATTTGAGACCCAACATTTGTTCACACGAAAAACAATACCACATTTGCTGAACCGAACAGCAATTAAGTTGATGATATACCTGCTGTCTTGGGAACAGTCTTCCCAAAGAGTCCAATGACAATCCGGCCTATGAAAATCCATGATCACTCCAATGTTAGTCAGGTTGGAGCATCAACAGATTCAGGAATCAACACGCACGGCTAATGATACAACTAGGGCTGTCAAATCTCAGCCTCAGAAGGGCCGCCATGCATGTTTTGCATGCACAAACAAACCTTCGGGCTTGCCGTCGATCTGGATGTCGAAGAAGACCTTGCTGGTGATCTTGGTGAGGTCCGCGTCTGCCTCTGCTGCATGTGCCTGTGAACAGCCAATGCATAAACGATGAGCAATGCCAGTGACGGTGGTGGTGGCAACAGCAATAGGATGCACAGCATAGACGAAGGGATCTCAGGACAACAATGCCACTATGCCAGTGATGAGCAGTGGCAAATGGGAGGCATATGCAAACAGATGGAGATGGAGATGGAGGCGCACCTGGGGCAGCGTTAGGGTGGCCACGCCGAGCGCGAGCCACAGGCACAGCGGGACAGCCCTCACCGCCGTGCTCCTCGTCGCCATTGCAGCTTGCCTCTTGCCCCCGGTTCCTCCTCGTCGGTCACTGGGTGCCGATGAGCCTGAGCTTTTCTTGGTCCAAATTCTGCAGCGTCCACGGTCCTTACAAGGAGGGCTGGCTGGTGAGCCACTGTCAAAACTGAGGGTTTGTGAGAGCGGATCGTCCTGGTCCGCACTGTCAAAACTGAGGGTCTGTGAGAGCTGATCGTCGTGGACCGCACGTTGGGCTCCAGCAACTGCCTGTTAGCTACAAATAGACAATGGCTAAAACGTTTGTTAGTAATCACAGCAAGGATGAGCAGGTCATGCGGTTAAGATCGGTGGCTGGGGGGTTTTTTTTATTTTTAACATTTTTTAACTAATTTTAAATCTAACACTCTTTTATTTTTTGTTCCAAACCTAACATTTTTGCCCGCGCCTATTTCCCTAGCGCGGCGAAACGCCTGTGCCGCGCCATGCATGGTGGCGCGGCGAGAGGGATGACGTGGCGATGACCGGGGCGCTGACCGGTGATGTGGCAGGGTCTGCTGCGCCACCGATCTTGTCGCAGCGGTGACGCGCCACGCATCACGGCGCGGCAGTCCCAGGTAAATATCGCCTGCGAGCCACCCTCCCTCTGTCTGCCTTAACGCGGTGGACGACTTCCGTGCCGCGTCCTCCCGCCACTCCCAAGTGTTGTCGGCGCACGGCCCTTCGTTGCCGCCTCCCTCCCTCCTTTCCTTCCATTCCCTGGCCGCCTCCCTCCCTCCTCGGCCTCGTTCAAGGTAATGACGCACCTTTTATTTTTGTTTGAATGGTGGATTGAAATATTATGAATGGGAGTTAAGGTTAGGAGAAAATTATGTTTGGGAACTATGGGCTATGGTTTGGAGGAAGATATTAATTTGATTTTGTCAATGTTAAAGTTAATTATTTAGTTAGAAGTATGTTTATCATGTATATTTTTGTTGCTATAAGTGTTGGTTATATTATTTGAGTTGCAATAAAAATGATTATATTTTACATTAATTTGCGTTGTTTTGATTAGTGTTTAATTTGAACCGTTTTATTAGATGAAAGACATGTTTCGGAAGCAGTTGTGGCGAAAACGGGGTCATCCTAGAGAATTGTACCCCGACAAGTCTAGCAAAGATGCCCCGTCCCTCCTGACCTCCCTGTCCCTAACTGTGACTCTGGTCGTCCGGCCGACGTGTTTCAATCGAGACATCCGGACACAGCGGCTCGTTACTTCCACACATGCAGTCGTTTTAATGTAAGTAATTATTTTCGTATGTTTTTTTTTCTTCATTTGTATTACTAGGTTACTAATATTTTGTTGGAATTTTGTTGGAATTTCCGTATGCAGAGGTGTTTTTTCTTTCAGTGGATCGACGGTGCAGACAAGTTTGACCCCAGGTACCTTCTTTTCGACGATTGGTGGAGAGGGCGACATCCACAAGAGCACTTCGAGCGGTGGGTTCCACCTCCCCTAACCCCCCCTCTAATGATGACTAAGGAGAGGCACTTAGCCGCAGTTAGACGACTCAATGAACCTTCTCTGTGCGATTGCGGAGATCAAGCTGTGATAAACTCTGAGAATACGTTGGAGTTTGTGTGCCCAAATAAGCATGAAGTAAGTGCAAAGTGTATGTATTGAAATATTGAGCCATATGTATTCATCTACTAATGTCACCTTATTTAGGTGTTTTCAATGGCAAAGTGTCGTTTCAAGGAGTGGTTGTATGGTCCTAAGAAACAATGGCCGGAAGAACCGCCAAAGGTTAAGGAAAAGAAGAAAGAAAGGGTAATTTACAAAGCACCTCTGTCATGTGCGAATGTGGTGTTAAACCAATTACGGCCTAGTCCCTTCGGAGCTTAGAATATGCCATTATTGCGGCCATATGGTTGACTATGATGAGGTTGGTTATTGGTGTCAAAAACCTGAAATTGTATTTTCTAGAATTTTTGAAGAATTATGATATAATTTTTCGTTTGAACAGAGCACTAGGAAATACAAGTGGGAATCTTATGTGGCAGAACCGTCCGAAATAACGCACTTACGGAGGCGCTCGTCTTCCACTGACACTAAGCACCCCGAGAGCGAGCTACAACAGGCGGGTTTCGTCGGGCACACCCCAAGGGAGAGCCCAAAAGATCCACATTTTTCTCCAAGGATCCAACAATGAGAACGAGTTACAAAGTACTCGCAAGACTTATCCGACTAGTGGGAATAATTTTCCGACTCCAAGAAGTATGATAAGCTTTATGGTTTGTTGGTTTCCTTTTTGTAGAAAGCAATACTAATAGTCAATCCTTATTTATGTTATTATTAGCAGTCCTGATTAATTTATTATCTAGCCATTCTATGTAAGCACATGTCTACTTTCAAGCAAGAGTTGAGCAACAGTGCCATTTCTTCACCTTTCATATTTCAGTTCTTACTACGGTGATAGAGTTTAGATAAGCCATACCGGATTGCCCGGTGATTCGTGAATCAATGTGCCCAGCTTGATACCTCGAAAACACACGTCCCGCTTGTACCCTAGGCATAAGCAGGACCAACCCATCACTTTCCTATCACGGGGTCCAGGTCCCCGTCCAAACTTGGACTCTAAGCCCCCGCTCCTAAGTTCCGGACTCAGTGCGGTGCTTAGACCTCCACCATCCCCGCCTCCAATCAGTCGGTCCGGAAAGAGCCGAAACCCATGCCAACAGAGCAACAAGTCTTCCCTGCGCCCATATCCAAGTATGTGCTAGGGATAATAAATCTATGACTTGCCTAGCGTCCATTGCAACGGTCGGTCCTTAACCGTCACAGAGGGAAAAAGTGTAACCAAGCTATGCCCCGTTGGCCGCAGAACACAACCTCTTACACCCACCAATACCCAAACCATATCCCTACCCGGTCTTCATTTTTTGTTTCCACCATTTTATCATGAGTGATAATAATCACCTATTGTGAGTAACGACAGGGTACTCATGCTACCGAAGTCCTGAGCATAGTAGCTACTCGACCTATACTAGTAGGACTCATAGGTAGATATATTTATGCATGTAATTTCCATAAAATGCTTGTAACATAAATGCACATCATATATATCCAGTGATCATTCAAAATAAGGGTTATGCATCGGGGCTTACCTTGGGCAGGCGGTGTGTCAACAGAGTCAGCAACGAACAGCTCCGGGGCTCCCTCCTATATGAGAATCTCCTCCTCGTACTCCTCAATGACCTCCTCAAACTCATGTTCGCCCGCAGGAATGAACTCTACCAACTCGTTATCTACATGCATGAAATAATGATGCAACACTTAGTAATACGGCAACAGCAACTCTTAAAAAATAAAAATACATCTGTCAAGCTGCTAAACTAGCTCTACCGACTAAGACGCTACATTACTTATCATTTCCACTAAACAGGTACAAGGCATTTCATACATTAACTTAGCAACTAAAGGTATTCTTATTCTTAATATCGATTTACTCTATATAGGAATAAACAAGGAGTACTAGCTACTCTATTTAACAATCTACTCTAGGGCTACAAAAATTACAGTGAGTGCCTAATAATGTTATGAGTCTGCTGTAAAATTTTCAGAGCTAGCACTTCTACCATTTCATCACAAAAATTCTTTCTCTAAATAATCCTAATAACAACAAGCATATTACAATAAATAAATTAACCTTAGGGATATCACATAACTGTACGAGCTAAATACACTAACAACTAGGGCATGAATTTAGGGGACTAACAAAATTTATGTGGCAGAACCTCCTAAATTATAGGGCCCACATGCACATGTCACTGTCCAACGACCTTTGACATTTATGCATATGTTCCCGGTAACTTAAGAAGACTGTCGGGTGTCCTCGATGAACCCCGAATCATCCATGATTTCTGAGTAGGATCACATTATAGAGTCATTGCAGTATTACAACATTTATTCAAATATCTATATCAGAGTAAAATTAGCGGAAGACTTACAATAACATAGTTTACAAACCATTTGTTTCAAACCATACAACTATGTTCTATAATTATTACAAACCAAAGTAGTGGAGTGGCATTATAACATATTACAGAACACACAAATAAGCTGCCCTACCCAAGAGCCACACATTTACTTATCGTCATCAGAAGGAACAACAGTCATGCAGCACGATCCAAAACAGATCTGCTTATGAGCCTCACCTACAATAAGGGTCAATGAACCCTGAGTACAAAAGTACTCAACAAGACTTAATCGAAATAAGAATTAATAAAACGCAGGAATGCAGACTCAGGGATTCAAGGTATGGCTTTAGCAATAATCAAAGTTCTTTTGCGTAAAAGCTTTTTAACAAAATTCTTATATCAACATTTAAAACTTCTTAAAATCATATACAAAGCTGACACGATCCGCATTGAGATCATGAAACTTCATAACCAACACCTTCTCAAACCATTCTCAAATTCCAGTTATTAAACTACGATGATGATCAGAGAGTTGAGTCTCCATAACCAAGGAGCAACGACGATTTAAACCGATTAAACCCAGCTGGGGATTACAGACCACACGACATATGCAGGTCCCCGACTTACATATATCAACCTACTCTCGGATCCTCTAAACAAGAATGGGTCCGCGCCACCTGAGAATACAGTACCCCACCAATCCAGCCCATTGCCACGTGGGTACACGCTATTCCCGCCATCTCTCCACTTCTAGTGCACGAGTAGCCATTCTCGTAATAGAATAGCCAAGTTAAGGCTTACTAGAGTATGCGGTTAGTACTACAAATTCTCAACTCACACAGGTCAACAACGGTACGGGCCTTAATCGACACAGACGGAAAGAATCCACTCATAAGACCTTCGTGTCTTGTGGCTCACACACACCGAGTCCGCCCGGTCTAGATTTATTACTCCACATGTCCATATCACATGATAACATAAGTAATCATAGTCCCATTTAAAACTTGTAGGTGACAGGTAATCACCCGACTTTCATCGTTCTAAGCATAGCTAAGCATAACTAGGCATATATG